TTTTATTTTTGTGAAGTCTATGTAACATAACAAGTCTATGTAGCATATAGCAAGTCTATGTAGAATATAGCATAGTATGACTATCTGAATTAAAAAGCTTTCGAAGTTCAATTCGATCCTAAAACATAAAAAAAAATTTTAATTATATCAATCTAAACTTTTAATTTTCTTGGAATTTATTTGTTGTAATCACAGTGATTCATCGGCAATATTAGTAGAAACTAACTTTTATAGTATGACTATTTTAATGGTAGCGTATATGAATTCTATATTTTATATAAAGTATCTATTTTTTTATTTTAGAACTTTTTTGAGCTTCATTTCTATTGGATTGAGATGATTTTTTTTTTTTTTTGCAGTTCATCGCAAACTAAAACATTATCACCATGAAAAAAATTTATCATACAAATAGTTCAACTACAAAATAAAATGATGAAATAGAAAATCTGAAGTAGTGTAGATCGATCGATTACTTTACTATGATGGTTGATGGGGAGTAAACAGTTTGCACACTTCAATTCTATTGCATAGTTCTTTGTTGATAGGCGATTTAAATAAGTTTTGCATGCAGCGCATGCAGCGCGCCTGCAAAAACTCTATCTTTTATTGACAATTTGTTGTTTTTATCTGTAAGGGAAATTTCGTCCAAAAAGCATAGACAATGTTACTTGCTTAATTATTGGATACACTTGGATACAGTAGAACCTTGATAAATTAATAATCACCATAAAATAATAAATTTTGCTAGTTCCAAGTCGGGCCAATGTAAAAATCTTTCAAATTCGATAAAATAATAAGATAATAATTTTTTTTGAAACTCCTATGTAAATATGGTCACAACAAAAATATAAATTAATAATTATATAACTTTTTGCATATATATATAATTATAATCTACTAAAATATGACTATAATGTATTTGTTTTCAAATGTATTGTAGTCTTATCTTCAATTTTATCATCAATAATATGGATAATACCACAGTTTTTTTTTATAAATTTTAAACTTATGAACATGTATATTTTTACAGAAAAATCCAATATGTTATTAAAAACCATTCTATTTCAATAGTTATGATTATTAATCATAATAAGTATTAAGAGATTCATATAAAATTTTAAATATAACATTATTCGAAAGAAAATTTTAATAAATTATAGGTGAGAACCAAATTTTCTCTATAAATTAATAATTATTAATTTATAATTAATTAATATCACGATAAATTAATAAAATATCATAATCCCAACATTATTAATTTATAGATATTTTACTGTATATTCTTCATCCATTATTGAAAATTGGTTATTCACTTAATTAATCCTTGAGATAATAAGCATCAATCCGTAGAGAAAAAATGTAGAATTCCTCTTCTCTTTGACAAGTATCGTCATTTCATGAGTCAAAAGCAAAGACGAAACTATATGGACATCATCTGATAAGATAATACTGAAATTAATCATATCAGCGAATTCAGTGTGACAACAAAAAAAGTCGCTGAATTTTTCATTCTTGTATCATATATTTTGGCTCATATTTGATTTTGTCTTATATTTTGGCTCGTTTTATACATTGTCATGTTTGGGATCAATACCGAACTCCTTCCTTTAATGATGAATGCTACTTTCTTACATAAGTGGATGACTTCTCTCGAGTTGTGTGGGTGTTTCTCATGTTTGAGTGCCAATTTATTTTCATGGTTAAACAACAGTTTTCTAGTCTTGTGAAAACTAGATGTGTATGAAGGATTTCTTTCAAGACAATAACATTATACATGAGACCTCATTTGTTGGGACACTTCAACAAAATGGTTAGGTAGAAAGAAAACATTGTCACATTCTCAATGTTGCTCGTGCTCTTCGATTTCCGAGCAACCTTCCTATAGAAATTTATGATGAATGCATCTTTTAGAATATTTCCTCAGCTCACTCTAGCAGGACCCCTCTAGAATATTTTGTCACTTAGAAACAACAATCTCCACCTTGACAAAAATTTCCATAAAAGTCACCTAGAAACTCCAATCACTTCCGGGGGGATTTCATCTTCTTCAACACTTGAAGACATGGAGCAAATTCAAGCAATGCTTGAACTTCTCCACAGTAACGGGCTTGGTCAACATATCAACTGCATTCTCTAACGTGTGCACCTTCTCCAACAAGACTTCTCCAGATGCAGACAACTCTCTGATCTTATGAAATCTGACATGAATGTGCTTCGTCCTTGCATGATATACCGGGTTCTTGGCTAGAGACAACGCACTCTGACTGTCGCTGTATAGCTGAATTCCACCTTGATCAACACCCAATTCTGTCACAAGTCCCTTGACCCAAAGTGACTCCTTGGCTGCTTCTCCCATTGCCATATACTCAGCTTATGTGGTAGACATTGTCACAACAGATTGTAGCACAGATCTCCAAAAAATAGGACATCCAGCAAGATTAAAGACATACCCTGTAGTAGACCTTCTGTTGTCTTGATCACCAGCATAATCTGAATCCACATATCCCACAACTGAGCCACACTCTTGACCACCAAACATAAACCCAAGATCGTTTGTACCCTTTAAGTATCTGAAAATCTATTTGATGGCTTTCCAGTGTTCTCTTTCAGGATTGGACATGTACTTGCTCACTTGACTAACTGCTTGTGCTAAATCAGGTCTAGTGCACACCATAGCATACATCAAACAGCCAACTGCACTTGCATAAGGGACCTTCGACATATCTCTGATCTCTTGATCAGACTTAGGACACTGCATCGCTGAAAGTAAGAAGTGCATCGCCAAATGTGTAGACACTATCTTTGCATCTTTCATGTCAAACATGTCTACAACATGTCTACAATCTACTGCATCCCAAGGATCTTCTTTGCAGCACCAAGATCCTTCATATCGAGCTCTTTCTTCAATAACTCTTTCAGCTTATCAATATTCTTCATATCTCTCGCAGCAATGAGCATATCATCAACATAAAGCAGTAGGTATATGGGAGAATGGTCGTCCAGGTATTTTACATAGACACATCAGTCATACTCACAGCTTGTGTCTTCACCATGTAGGAGTCAAAACGTTTGTACCATTGCCTAGGAACCTGCTTCAATCCATACAGAGACTTCTTAAGTCTGCACACAAGCTTCTCCTCTCCTGGTTTTACAAACCCTTCTGATTGCTCCATATAGATCTCTTCATCCAGATCTCCATGAAGAAATGCTGTCTTTACATCCATTTGATCAAGATGGAAATCCCAGCTCGCTACCAAACCCAGCACAGCTCGAATAGAAGTGTGCGTCACCACAGGAGAGAATATTTCGTCATAATCAACCCCTTTCCTCTATGAGTAACCCTTTGCCACCAATTTTTCCTTGTACTTAACTGGTTCCTTCTCAGACATCCCAGGTTTTACCTTGAAAACCCACTTACATCCTATCCCCTCTTGCCTTTTGGTAAATGCTTTAGATCCCATGTTTGATTTCTATCCAGGCCTTTGGCCCGTTACATTCCTCAGCTCGCTCTAGGGACCTTTTAGAATATTTTGTCACTTAGAAACAACAAAAGGATTGTGTGTCTATGATATAAGGCTGTGAAGTTTGTTGTTTCTTGTGAAGCCTTTTTTGTGAAAACGAATTTCTATATTATAACTCTTCACGTGTCTTGCCTCCTCAAGTTTCTGCCTCTCTCGTCGAGTTCATTAATGACGATGATGATGTACTTGAAATGATTACCATGCCTTTGGTAAATACTGATCTCATTGTGGACTATGTTTACTGATGATCATTCATCTCCTTCGGGTTGCCCATAATCTTGCATTAGATTTATCGACTACATTCTTCTTCAGATATAACTCTTACTATTGATACAATTGATGTTGAAATTTTTGATACCCCAAATGCTGAAGCTGAACAAGAACTCTGTCAAGGAAAATATGTGAAAATTATGTCTACTTGTCTCAAGAATTTTGTTGGTAATACGATTATTGCCGATACTAGTTAGTATCCAATTGACCAATACATAAATTATTGTGCATTTTGAGTGCTTGTTACCGAAGCTTGTGACAAGTAGACCATTCTCATTCGCTGAAGCATTAAAGGCCACACGTTTGCATCTTGCTATGCAAAATGAGGTTGGTGTATTGGATAAAACTCATATGTTGTATTTAGAGACTCTTCCTCATGGTTAGAAAGCTATTAGCTATAACTGGGTCTTTAAAATTAAGTTTTACTCTGATGATACTGTTGAGATATTCAAGGTCCGACTTGTGGCATTAGGAAATCGTCAAATTGAAGGCCTATACGACACATGAGTTTATTTGGAATATAAATAGTTGCTCTTGGATCTTGGTATTGATCACACTCGATCGATGTCTCTCTTCTGTGATAATCAAGCTTCTATTCACATTTGTTTTACTCTTGATGTTTCATGAGCATCCGAAACATGTTAGTGTTGATTGTCATGATACATTTTATGAACTCTTCTTACTATTAATGTTTATACTAAGGAACAATGGGCATATATCCTCACCAAAGTTTGAACGCTAAAAAATTGTGTTTTTCATTACTTTGATTTTCAAGTTCCAATTTGATGGGCATTTGCGTCTTTTATTTCACCTATTTGTATATTTTTTGTGAATATGATATTCCATTGTCTTAGCCATTAGAGCTTAGATTAATGTTAATACTTATACAAATATGCTACACTCATTTGACTTAATCAATACAGAAAAGTAACCTTTCTCTAAACTCTCTGTTTTTTGACAAATTAAAGAGGACTGAAGAATACAGCCCAAAAGAAAAGCGCAAGGAATGATTGAATGAAATTCGCACGTGTTTATGTGAGTGTACATGTCCGAATTGCGAACGGAAAAGAGTAAACGAGGTTCTTATGTTTTCTCTTAGTTAAACTAAACGCCCCGTTTTGGTCTCGCTCTCTCTCTCTCTTTCACGCACGTACGAACGAACATAAACACAAAAACAAAACACAAAGCGAAATCGATAAAATTAAAAGGAAAAAATAAAAAAATCCCTTTAGGGCACAAAGAGAAGAAGAAGCACTTCTGCAACAACAAAAAAAAGGAAATTTCGCGGCTAAATCAATCGCTTCTACTGGTTCGTACTCAACTCTAATCTTCGATTATCAATCTGGGTTTTCATTTCTCTCTTCTCAATTTTGACTGTTTCTTCGAGAAATAGCTTCGGATCCTCTCAATTTCTTCTTTGTTTTCGGTGTTCGTTAGTTTCTCATCTCGATTATGCTCTCAAAATCCGATTCTTGATGGAATTTGTTTAGAATCCGTCTTTGATTTTTTACTATCTTAGTTAGTCAGCTGAACAATTGATTTTTCGTCAATTTGTTTGAGCACTCTCTAATTGAACTTCTTCTAACCTCCAGAACTTATTTGATTTTGAAATCAGGTACTACGAAATTGAGAAAATTGGGGGTTTTTAGGTCTTGTTCCGTTGCAATTTTGGATCTTCAAGTTGAAGAATTGTTGGATGAAGCTAGATACCCAAATCTGGATTTAGTTTTCAGGTGAAATTTTTGTTGGAAGAAATGGGGTCAGAATCAGATCAATGTTTCACCAGATTGCATACACTTGAGATAAAAGCCCTCATTTACCAGAAAATCGGCCAATCAAGAGCAAATACTTACTTCGATCATCTCGGAAAATTCCTCACCTCGAGGATAACCAAGTCCGAGTTCGACAAGCTCTGTATCAACACGATCGGTAGAGAAAACATCAAACTTCACAACCGTGTAATACACTCGATCCTCAAGAACGCAAGTCTTGCCAAAACTCCCCCACCAAGAAGCAACAGTTTCGCAGCTTTCCCTGCTTCGCCTCGTAAATGTAGGACGAGAAAACTTAGGGACCGGCCTAGCCCGCTTGGTCCACTTGGTAAGCCTCAGAGTATCACAACAACGAACGACGAGTCAATGTCGAAAGCGCGGCGACTTCTCGCCGCCTCTGTGGAAGACGGAGAAGAGGTTGAACAAATGAATGGAAGTCCGAGTGTACAGAGCAGAAGTCCGTTAACTGCTCCGCTCGGTGTTTCCATCACCAGAGCTAGAAAGTCCGTTTTTAGTTCTTTACGCGGCGTTGAGAGTTGCCATAGCAGCGGAGAGCTGCCTGATACAAACACATTAAGGGCTAGGTTGGAGAGGAAACTTGAGATGGAAGGGATAAAGTTATCGTCGATGGACACTGCCAATGTTTTGAATATCGGGTTGGATGCGTTTATGAGAAGGCTGATACAGCCTTGTTTGAGTTTGGCGAGTTCTAATGTATCGATGTTGGATTTTCGTGCTGCCATGGAGTTGAATCCTCGGGTTCTTGGAGAAAATTGGCCTATACATCTAGAGAAGGTTTGTTTTCGTGGCTTGGAGGAGTAAAGTTGTAGAAAAGACAGCTATTGTTTAGTGATACACCGGTGATATCTTTGATTGATAGATTTGATTCTTTCCTGTAATTTGGATGGAATTCCCATTAGTGAGTTCTTGAAGAAAGCTTTTGATGGGAAACACAAAGAGGCTTGGAGGTTGTACAAGTTCTGATAGATATATAATATATAGTTTTATATACCATTTGTTTAGCAGATGTCTTCTTCTTTTTTCTTCCCTGTATTTTTTTTTTTTTTTCACCTCATGTCTCTAATGTAACAAATTTTCCATGAAAGCAATGAAAATTTTAACATCCAGTTTTTCTAGAAACGCTTTGAAGCAGAAGATAGTTCAGAAAAATAACTATGAAACCAAACTCATTGCTTAGTGAAATCATTCATGTCAAAAATGTGTAGCTGTTCTTCAAAATTCTTCTTACATTTACCAATCTAAAGCTACAGACAGAGAACATAAATTTTTGAAGAATGCATGGAGTCTCTTTAGCTAATTGCAGGTTAATGTGACCTTTTAGGCTGTGTTTCTTCATTCCTCAACCACAGGGCAATGCAGAGAAAGGTAAGGTAGGCCGAGACAATGTCGAAGATAATTGAGTGTTTCAGCTTGAAATCGCAACTGGTTTTTCACGGTTTGCCATGTAAGTCATGTAGATTGTCCATAGATACGAAAACGAGTTGCTTACAAGAGGCTGCAGGGAAATAAAAGCAAGAACAGGGTGAGTGAGTGCATCCTGAGATGAGCAGCAAGACTAGGAAAAGTAAAATGATTTGTCTTTTGAGTTTTCTCTTGAACAGAAGAAGTGCTAGTCAAATGATAGTTACCTGTAAATGAACGGGGAAGAACCTGAATGTCATAAAATCACATATAGGCCAATACATAACACCGTTAAACATTGCGGGAAGTACGTCCCTTTTCAATCTGGCAAGTATATCTGAACCGCTTTCCCCTGAACAACCAGAGGAATGCAGAGTAGCTTAGAACGTCGTTTTGTGTAATCGAACCAATCCATATAAAAGAATAAAACTCCATCACTGATATCAACGGAATTATCTTTGTATATTTGTAAGACACGTCCAAGATTAAACAAACCTAACAGCAAGAAATGAACACAAGATTCTCCATTCAAGAATCAAGAAGCAGAGAGGAACCTTTTTCTGAAACATAAGTGAGTAAACTAAAAACAGAAATCAATCAATCATCAGTAATCATTCTCACCTCAAGAGATACTACCCATCAGCGTAAACAATTTTTAACAATTGCTAAAAAATTGTAGTGTGGAGCTAAGACTGTAAATGTAAAGTAAATTGATCCAGCTCACAAATTTTCTTGTAGATAAAAGTTCAGAGTTGGATGGGATGGTAACATAATTCTGAGAGGAAGTTTTCAGGCAACAGAAGAATAACAAAGATTGAAAACGGATTAGAATGTTTTCTTCTTCTCCTATCACTGTTCATGTCTCAGATATATAAAAAGAAGCTTACCTTGTAGGAACGCGTTCAATGAGAAGAAAATAACGGTCATGCTAGGCCCGTATATCGCCTGTCCCATGGCCATTTTCTTAAATGTTGTGATCAAATCTTGTTTGGGAAAGAGTCTTGACATGAAATTGAACCAATAGTGAAGCGTTGGACCCAACACAAATAGACCATATCCTGCCATCCTTGCTGTTCTCACCAAATCATATGACTCGGAAGAATTTTTCGAAATCGTCTGTTATTGTCAGCTCTTAAAGTCAGTTCTCAAAAAAAACGATACACTTTAAGGAAATGTAACACCTCAAATTCACATATAACAGCTAAATTCAATCACCATGTCAAGAACTCCCATTACAGTATCCAATTCCTTTGTCTTTCAAGCACACATTACTCCAACAAGAATCAAACTTTACTACTCCTATTCACAATTATATAGAACATTAAAGACTATGGAGAAACACATGTATGTTCTCTTCTACCTCTACTTGACATTAGAATCTCATAACTAAAGGCATACGGAAGAAGAAAAAGCTTAACTTTCTAGGAAAAGTAAACCTATTTTCCAAATTGCAATCTTCAATGAAATTTAAAACAAGGAAGACGTTGAAACCCAAAATTTGAAGCAATTTTCAAAGTACCTGAGAAGACAAATCAGCGGCAATGTAAATAAGCGAGGAAGTGACACTTTTTGTGAGAACTGGGCGTGATTTCACCATACCAAGATACCATCCGACGAAACCCACCGAGGAAGAAGAAGAAGAAGACGACGAACAGAAACCAGAAGAAGCTGAGATTCCTATTTCCTTTGCTCTCCCCAAAAGCTTATGCGAGCGGAAATAAGGCCTCGATTGGAATCGGGTAACGACGGATTTCGCATGGCCGGTCGGGTCTGCCGCCGCCGCATTACGCAGTATGAGCCGGGCGGCATCGCTGGCGACGTTCCTGAACAATGCACCGCTCATTCTGTTTCGGCTTCTCCGAGATTCTAGGTGATGTACTTTCTCCAGTCTTCTTCCATGAAAGCTATACATTTTCAGTCGGTTTACCTGAACCATATCTGAACCAGTTATCCATAATTTCAGGTATTAATATAACGAGAATTTTCCGGTTAAGAACGTAGGAAAAAAAATAAGGGAGAGTTTCAGATTTAACTATATTTTAAAGTTAAACACCAAACTAACTTTTTTTTTTTCTCTCTTCTAACTTTTGTCATTTTGTCACAATTTTATCCTTTTCACCTAAGTTATTAACGAAAATGTCATTATATATCTATTATTTCGATTTTTCCTTAATTTGGGTAAAGTCTCATTGGTCCTCTTAAAGACTATTTAATTACAAAAATGTCATATTCTTCAATTCCTTCAACCACCATGAACAACCACGAAATATGAATAAATGCTTCACAACCAATTTTAAAGCTGTAATAAATAAATATTTGAGCTCATTCACTCATAACCTTGCTCATTCTCTCATAATTTCTTCTCCAAAACATCTGGGCTAAGTTACAATGCGTCAGGCCATGCATTTTCGGTGATTTCTGGTTACTCTACACCTGGGTTTTCATTTTCGGTGAAATCATGAGTTCTGGGTGCTTAAGAGAAACTTATGCGAATTTTGTTAAAGGTAATCTTCACACTTCAATTTCTCCATATTTCAGTTTTTATATCACGAAAGTAGACTTCTCGTGAAGTTTATTGAAGTCTACTAGTCAACATAAGGTTATTTTTGCAATTGACTTCTTAAAAGTAGACTTTGTTAAACTTTACGAGAAGTTTACTCAACATCCTTTGAAAACAAAAAAAAGTTTAGTAGACTTCGTTTGAAGGCTTAAGAAGTCTACTAAAGGAAAGAGGTTATTTTTGTGGTAGACTTCCATATGAAATCTACTGTTTACGTCTGCAGAAGAAGTCTACCTTAAAGTTATTTTTGTAGTTTGACCAAAAACGTATAGGTCATTTTAGTGTTTGACTACGGTTTTTTTAAAATTAAAAATTTCAAAAAATTCCGAAAAACTTCAGTAGACTTTCCAAAGAAGTCTAAAAACTGTAGACTTCTTTGGGAAGTCTACTTATATTTTTTGGTCAAACTTAGAAGGAATTTTTTTTTAGTAGACTTCAATGTGAAGTCTACTAAAAAAATTCAATTGCAAAAATAACATATTTTTTCCGTAGACTTCTATTAAAAAAGTATACTTCAAAAGTAGACCGTCATAAAAGTCTACTCTTACATGAAGTCTACAATAGAAGTCTACTTTATTAGTCAATGCATCGGTCAAATGCTAAAGTAACCTTTTTGGCCGGAAGTCTACTTCTGAAGTCTACTGAAGGAAAAGTCAACAGATTGGTCAATTGCAAAAATGACCTGTTTTTTAGTAGACTTCATTAGTAAACTTCTATATGAAAAACACTACAAGAATGAGGGGTTTTTCCATTGAATTAGTTACGACGATTTTTAGTCGTCGTAAATTTACGACGACGTTACGTCGTATTTACGACGATCAAAAATTTCGTCGTAAATTCGACGTAAAAAATGACCCTCGTAAAATTGTCGTGATGTTACGACGATATTACGACGAATGAAGAATGAATTTTAATTCGTCGTAATATTATCGTAATATTTACATCGATAATACGACTAATTGTCCTCTATCTTGGAATTGACGTAAAATCAATGTAAATGTGATGTAAGTTTTATTTCGACGTAAATTTGATGTAAATATGCAATGGTAATATGTTGGTAACCAAACAAAAAATTCTATATATACCCTTTCTTCTCTCATTATTCCATCAACCCAAAAAACATATAAAGACACAAATTTTTTGAGTCTTTGAATGTTTAAGTAAAATTTTTAGTAGTTGAAATTGATATCACCTTTGTTCCATATCCTCGAGTTCGGAATACGGGAATTTCATGGCTGGCGGTTGTCAAAGTTGCTCCAAAGGGTATAATTGATGGTGTAGATCTCCCGCCAATGCAACAAGATGATTGTGTCGACATTACAGAACCGGATGTTGAAGAAAATGTTCTTTTAATTGATCCACGTAATCGACAAGTTGAAGATCTACATGGGGACGAAACTGAAGAAGGTGCTGACGAATTTCAAACAAGCAGTGATGATGACAATGATGTGAGGACACCGAGGAAAATGTTGATGAAGACTAATTAAATATGTTGACATTTAATTGCATGTTTCAATGTAACATTTGTCAAATTTAAATTTTTGAAAAATTAAAGCCAATTAATGAAAATAAAATTTGTTAAAGTGTTGACTTGGACATATGTTGACTTTTATGACGAATTTACGATGATTATTTAGAAATCGTCGTAACTTCGTCGTAAAATGCAAACCCTAAACCCTATAGGGTTTAGCTTTCCCAACTTACAGAATGGTTTTTGGGTTCATTTTCCTAAGTAAACTGATGAATTATATAAGGGTCTGTAGTATAAGGTTCAGGAACTTGTAAATATGTGGTTTTTATTACGACGAATTTACGACGAATGGGTGTGATCGTCGTAAATTCGTCGTAATATACCATCGAGATTACGACGAAATGTAACCCCTAAATCTTATAATCAATCTTTTCTGGGGTTCAGGGGGGATTTTGATGAAGAGAATGATATGGCTTACCATCTCATAAAGTAAAACAACTTTCTAAACAACAAAAAAAAAATTCAAAATTTGACATATATGTGTTTATCAAGTAATCTTAAGGTGTTATATACATTTACACAAGATGTAAGGATTTATCTTAGATCTTACTAAATTCTTCATTAAGTTATGTAAACATGCTAGAAAGTTATACAGACCACATTTATCATGAATAGACATGCTTGTATGTGCTTATGGATGTTTCAATTTTTGAATTTCATCAGTTTTGGTATAATTTGTCGTAAATTCGTCGTAATTTATGACGATTTGTGGATACACAGCCGTCTTAATTTTTATGATTTATACGATTCGTCGTAAAATCGTCGTAACATTACGACGATTTTACGACGAATAACACGGATCATCGTAAAATCGTCGCAAAGCCCAGATACAGCCACATGTGTTTGTATTATTTGCTTTCTTGTACGGTGGGACCATTACGACGAATTTACGAGGAAAATAAATTCTATATATGGGACCGCACCCCTTCCTCATTTCGTCGCTCATCTCTCCTTCCTCTCTCTCTGCTTCCTCCTCCCTTGCATTCCTCCTCTTTTGACGCAAAAAAAAGGTAATTATTTTTTTTAATTACTTAAAATTATAATATTATTAAATAGTTTAGAAATTCAAACGGTTTAGGTCGGGAATTAGTTTAGGCTCGGAATTTGTTAGATTTAGGATCGGAATTTGTTAGATTTAGGTTTTTAATTAAAAATTAATTGTAATTAAATTGAAAAATAAAATTTTATCGGTTTTGCAGACGATGACTCGACGGAGGACGCATTACATCAATTTCATGGCGGACGGACACTCTTCCCGGGCGTCTGCCTCGGGAAACACCGGGACCGATGTCCTTTCATCTTCCGGAGCCTCCCAGGTTCCGAATACCGCGGAGCAGTCTCCACCACCGCCTCCACCACCGCCTCCACCACCACCTCCACCGCCGGCTGCCGAACCGGTACCCGCCCCTCCTCATCCGTATGCCCAGTTTACGGTTGAGGATTTACTAGCCCTACCGGGATGGGGGGCTTTACGACGTCTGGTTCCCGAAAAAGCGGAACCAGGCTCTTATTGGTAAGTAAACTTTTTTGTTTTTTATATTTTTTAAAATTAATGCTTTAATTTACTTAAATATTAATGTAATAAGTTTTTTTTGTTTTCATAGGTTTGATTTGGATAATTGTGTCGGTCGGAGCGTTTCCGACACAATGAAGAGTCATTTCGTGGAGCCGCACTACAATTGGAGCAAGGTGTCGCAAGAGACGTACGACACCTGGTACAAGTGCTTCGCGGTAATGTTTTTAAAATCTTATTTATATCATTTTAAATTGTTTTAAATTTAATTAATCTTACTTTTATATTGTTTATCTAATTTTTTGTTTTCTTTTGCAGCAACGGTGGAACTGAGACATCGGGATCAACGAGACGGTCCGCGAAGCTTTCCGGCTGAAGGCGCAGAAACGCCTAGTCAACACCGTTTCCGATTGGAAGCGGAAGTGGGAGACCGATGGAGACGACGCAAAGCCGAGCTCCATGTCCACTTCCTGTTGGAACGGGTTGAAGGCGTATTGGCTGGACCCGCATGCCCAAACCACTGCGGCTAAGTGTTCGGCCGTCCGAAACCGGGTTGATCCGGTGAGTGGTCAGAAGTTAGTGACCCCGCACACTTCTGGCCAAATATCTTTTGCGGGAAGACGTCTCATGATGGTAAGTAATTAAATATAAATTATTTCATTATTATTTTAATTTTAATTATTGATATAATTTATTAAATATTTTTGACTAATGTTTATTAATTGGTAGGCCGAGGAGAACGGAGGAGAACTACCTCCAATGACGAAGCTCTTCGAGACCACTCACCGGAAGAGGGACGGGAGCTTTGTCGACGCTCGGTCCGAGGAGATCCACAATGCCGCTATGCAGCGGATCGCCGAGCGGGAGACCCAGGCCACACCTGACGGTACTATCCAAGTACCGTTGACCGTCGCTGAGCAAGACCAGATTTTCGAAGAGGTATGATCTATTTCAATTTTTTTTAAATTTATTATATTTATTACTTAATAAATAATTAACGTTTTCATTTTCCATTTGTAGGTTGCTCCGAAGAAGAAGGGCCGAACCTTAAGGATGGGCTCTATTAGAGACTGTCCTGCCGCCTCGGCTTCCGGATTTCGAACGCAGGAGGATCCGAGTCATCTTCGCCAGGAGCTTGCTACGGCCAATGCTGAGATCACCACTCTCAGGCATGAGCAAGTGGCCCAGAAGCAGGAGCTCACCGAGATACACGATCTCTTCGACATCGTTGCGGAAGCGGTTCCGCAGTTGGCCACCGCAATCCGAGCGAGGCAACAGCGAGCACGAA